CACCAAAGGACAGAACTACCAACCAAAGAATTGGCAAAGACGCCTCTGAATTAAATGATGCCATATCTCAAGCAGACTTGACTGACATATACTGAGTTTTCCACCCAATAACAACCCAGTACACATTCTTCTCAGCAGCCCATGGAACTTTTTCTAAAATAGATCATATCTTAGTTCATACAAGGAATTTAAGCAAATACAAGAGGTTCTACATAATCCCCTGTATTCTATCTGACTATAGTGGAATCAAACTATTTCTCAATAACAAGGCATAAAATAGAAAAAACTCAGACACATGGAAATTAAACAGCACACTGCTGAACAACACATGGGTCACAGAAGAAATTAAAAAAGAAATTAAAAAGTTCCTACAACTCAGTGAAAATGAAGATATATCACAAAGAAACCTATGAGATACAGCAAAAGCAGTCCTGAGGGACAAATTTATTGCTCTCCATAAACACATTAAGAAAACAGAGGTAGGCCAAGTAAATAATCTCATGATGCAACTAGAGATACAAGAAAAAATTGTCTGTTGCTAGACAGAGCGAGATAATCAAAGTAAGAGCTGAAATGAACAAGATAGAGACTAAGAAAACCAGAAATAAAATTAATAAAACAAAAGCTGTTTTTTTAAAAAAAAAATCAATAAAATTGATGGACCACTGGCAAGATTAACTAAAAAAAAGAAGAGAGGAGACCCAAATCAATAAGATCAGGGATGCCACAGGAAAAATTACAACAAACATCTAAGACATATTTCCAGACTCTATACTCACAAAGGAAGGAAAACCTAGCAGAAATGGATTAATTTCTAGAAAAATACAAATTGCCCAAACTGAACCAAGAAGAAATAAATCAATTAAATATGCCAGTAACCTACAATGAGATAGAGGAAGCAATCAGAAGCCTTCCAACAAGGAAAAGCCCAGGACCAGATGGATTCACTATGGAATTCTATAAGACCTTTAAAGAGGACTAATACCCACACTCCTCAAGTTCTTCCGAGAAGTAGAAGCAGAGGGAGTAATCCCAAACTTATTCTATGAAGCCAATATCACACTCATCCCCAAACCAGGCAAAGACCCAACAAAAGAGAACTACAGACCAATATCCTTGATGAACACAGATGCAAAGATGCTTAACAAAATTCTAGCTAACAGAACCAGAAACACATAAAAAAAAATCAAACATTATGGTCAAGTAGGCTTTATCCCAGAGATGCAGGGATGGTTTAACATATGTAAGTCAATAAACATAATCCATCACATCTACAGATCCAAGGTCAAGAACCACATGATTATCTCCATTGACACAGAAAAGGCTTTTGATAAAATACAGCACTCATTCATGTTAAAAGCTCTGGAAAAATAGGAATAGAAGGAACATTCCTTAAAGCAATAAAAGCCTTATACCACAGCCCAATAGCCAATATTATACTTAATGGGGAAAAACTACAACCAATTCCCCTAAAAACTGGAACAAGGCAAGGATGTCTACTGTCTCCACTCCTCTTCAATATAGTTCTGGAATCCTTAGCCAGAGCAATAAAGCAAGAAAAAGACATTAAAGGGGTCCACCTAGGGGAGGAAGAAGTTAAACTATCTCTTTTGCAGGTGACATGATTTTATATCTTAATGATCCCAAAAGCTCCGTCCCCAAACTCTTAGAGCTTATAAACCACTTCTGCAAAGTAGCAGGATACAAAATTAACCCACAAATATCAGTCACCTTTCTGTAAACCAACAATGTACAAGTAGTAAAGGAAATCAAGGAAACAACCCTATTCACAATAACCTCAACAACAACAAAAAAAAGTAGGAATTAACCTAAGCAAATATGTAAAGGGTCTATTTCATGAAAACTGTAAAAGCCTTTAAAAAGGAATCATAGAGGATACCAGGAAATGGTATCATGTTCCCTGGATAGGCAGACAATATAGTGAAAATGGCCATAGTGCCAAAATTGATATACTCATTCAATGCATTTCCCATTAAAATCCCAATGACGTACTTTACTGAAATAGAGACAACTGTTCAAAAATTCACATGGAACAACAAAAGACCTACAATAACCAAAGCAATTCTAGGCAAAAGAAACAACACAGGAGGGAGCACGAGACCGAATTTCAAGCCATAATAACAAAAACAGCTTGGTACTGGTACAAAAAGAGACCTGAAGACCAATGGAACAGATTAGAGAAACCAGAAATAAAGCTACATACGTACAGTCTATTGATATTTGACAAAGGAGACAAAGACATACAGTGGAAGAATCAGCCTCTTCAACTACTGATGCTGGGAAAACTGGGTGGCCACATGCAGAAAAGTGGACCCTAGCCTATCACCATGCACTAGCATCAACTCAAAATGGATTAAAGACCTTAACATCAAACCTGATACTCTGAAACTACTGCAGGACAGAGTAGGAGAGACACTTGAACTTACAGGCACAGGCAGGAACTTGCTGAACAGAGTTCCAGGGTCACAACAAATTGGAGAGAGACTCAACAAATGGGACTGCTTTAAAATAAAAAATTTCTTCACAGATAAGGAAATAGCAACCAAACTAGAAAGTAAGCCATCTAATTGGGAAAAAAATATACCAGCAATATATTATACAAGGGTCTAATATCCATTATATACAGGGAACTCAAGAAACTAACCCCTCACAGATCTAACAAACCAATCATGAAATGGGCAAGGGAACTAAAGAAGAAGAGATATCTCTTCTCTCAGAAGAAGAGATTAAAAAAAAAAAGGCAAATGTTCATCATACCTGGCTGTAAAGGAAATGCAAATAAAAACGACACTGAGATACTACCTTACCCAAGTCAGAGTGACTCACATTCTAAATTCAGCCAATGACAAATGCTGGAGGGGATGGGGAGAAAGAGGAACCCTACTGCATTGCGGGTGGGAATGAATGCTAAGACAACCACTTTGGAAAGCAGTCTAGAGGTGCCTCAGAAAGCCAAATATAGACCTCCCCTATGACCCATACCACACCTAGGCATCTACCCTGAACAATAGGAACCAGTAAAGAAGGGCACATGCACCTCCATGTTTATTGCAGCACTGTTCACAATAGCCAAGATTTGGAAACAACCCAGATGCCCCACTACTAATGAGTGGATCCAAAATTGTGGTACCTATATCCAATGGAATATTATGCAGCCATTAGAAAGGACAAAATAATGGCATTTGAAGGGAAACGGATGGAACTAGAGCAAATTATTTTAAGCAAAGGTAAGCCAAGAACAAAGACACAAATGGCACATGGTCTCCCTGATATGTGGATGCTAAAGCCAAAATATGAGGAGATATGACAAAGTAAATGGGAATAGAAAAACAAAGGACAGCCACTCATTTTGTTGTATCATTACTAAGTGACTCCATGATCTTGACCATATATATGGTAGATATATGCACGCAACTGAGGCAAGCCCAGAGGAGGACACAGAATAAGTGGGAAATGGAACAACACACAACTAAGGGGCCCAGCAGCTGCACTGGACACAGAAGAACAAGAACTAAGCAACCCAAAGACAGCGATGGGAAGGGAGGAATGAGAGGGAAAGAGGGAAGAGCCTACACTAAGCAAAAGAAAGAAGTATAGACATCACTTGAGGTGGAAGAAATAATTTGTATTGCCAAAGCTCATAACATTCACAAACTTTATAGATTGTGGTAATGAAAATTTGCCTTGTGAAGGTTAAAATGTGCTTGTGACTTTAAGTATCACTATTCCACAATACTGTGAAATATGTGAAATTTACGTAATCACCTAATGTCAATTTTTTTAAAAAGTTAAAGAAAGATGGGTTAGTAGTGATGGGTGACAATGTTGTCAGACACCTTGTATTCATATACTGTTTTATAGAATCGGACCTTCTTTGTACAACCACTTAAAGTTAATAATAATAAAAAAGCTAATAAAAAGGCATTTAAATGTATATCTCAGGATTATTTGAGACAGTAAAGAACCTAGGAACAGTGCTTTACTTATAATAAATGAACATTTTTTCATTAAAAAAAGAGCCCAGGCATTATCTGTCTCTCCGTTTTATTTGTCATTACTATTTTAGCTTTTAGAGCTTCTGGCTAAACACTGAGCTGAAAGTCTTACAAACATGATGTTTCACTCATCAGGAAACTCCTTACACATAATCACAACACAAAGATCTTTTAAATATTCATTTCTCTCACTTTCCTAGATGATTAGATTTCCAATCACATTTTAAAATATCCCCAGAATTCTAGTAGGAGTTAAATGGATATGAAAATGTGGTTTTCCCCCTGCTTTCACTGTATTTGATGTTGGTATAATTTGTGGAGGGGAAGGGAAAAAACAAATCATTTAAATAGGGATATAGGTGGACCCATTGCAGGAATGAGATGTACAAGTCGTTATGTTGAAAAACAAACTTTACAACTTTGGCCGGGGGAGGGGAGTATGGGGGAGAGATGGGAAGGGATAGGAAGGGGAAACAAAGGAGGAGGCAACAATGCTTGATAAGAAATGTACTCATTGGGCTGGGAAGGTGGCTAAATGGTAGAGCGCTTGCCTTGCATTCATGAGGCCCTGGGTTCAATTCCTCAGCACCACATAAGCAAAAAGAAAAAAGCCAGAAGTGGCTCTGTGGCTCAAGTGGTAGAGCGCTAGCCTTGAGCTGAAGAGCTGAGGGACAGTGGCCAGGCCGAGTTCAGGCCCCACAACTGGACCAAAAAAAAAAGAAGAAAAAGAAATGTATTCATTACCTTGCCCATGTAATTGTAACCCCTGTGTATGGTATTTTCACAATAAAAAAAAATGTGGGCTTTCCCCCCTAAAACAATTGCTTTGTTTCAAATATGGCATTAATTTCGCAATGTGTATATTAGGACAAATAGTAAGAATAGAATTACATTTCCTCCCATACAAAGATCACACAGTATGCACACATATCTGCAAAAAGTCTTCTGACCAGCTTTATTTATTACACCTTCCATAGCAAATAGTATACCATTAACATGACATAGGTGGCTTATAAAGATGAAAGAAATCCTATCAGTAAGAAAAATCCTGCAAGATGGTGTCTAGAAAGAGTGTGGGCACCATAGGTGGCTGTCCGGGGAAACGCTCAGCCTTGTCTTGTGAAGAGTCTCCATTGTGAAGAGCAGTTAGCTCACAGTCTTTTTGGGGTTCATTTTCCTTTGAGCACTTCTAGCTTTAATGTTCTTCTTAGGGCTGGCTGGTTTGGGAATGGGTGGCTTTGCCTTTGGTTTGGGGGGGTTGCTACGACTGATACGTCCAGCTGTGCGTTTCTTGTCTTGAATTGTTCTTTGCTGTTCCTGCAGCCTCTCTTCCCACTGCTGAGAAGAAATTAGTGAACAGGTCTGTCAAGTACATTTAAATCTGTTTGCACAAGGATGAGTATCATACTTCACAGCACAGCTGCAGATCCATTCATTTGTTCCCCATTCATAAAACCCCTCATGACTAATAAAAGAGCTAAATCTACACAAGTGAGATGCAAAGACAAGGGGACATTGGTACCAAGGAAAAGCCTAATCCCTGTAAAATGCCCTTCATGCGTCTCTAGAATCAGCCCTGCTATCAATTTACTGTCAGAGGAAAATCACAGCATTTGCTCTGACTTGACTTGAAAAAAATTACTAATTTTGGAGGTCATTGAGCTGAGCAGCAATGATTGGAGACAATAATGCTGGCATGGATTATGTTCACAGTTACCTAGATTCCTTTGTAGAAACTTGAAGACCATTTTTGCTGAAACCCTGAGATGTCAGATGAGTGAAGAAAAAATGGGGGTAGGAGAAGAACAATGACATTTCCATCTCTGTGTGTTCCTTTGCTGCCTATAACCTTGGATCTGATTCTACTCAGTTCTGCATGCAGACATAACTGTCATTTAAAAAAATGTTTTGTCGAAGACTAAAATATGGAGTTAGCACAGCCTGCTGCATGTTGGAGTTGCTGTATGCTGCTTCTAGCCTGCCCTGTGCTTTCAGTACAGCTCAGGCATCTACAGTCTCCCTATCTTACCATAAGGCCCTGAACAAATCAGGAAGCCAGGGTGTTCTATGCCTGACAGTGATTCATTCATGCGACAGTTCCTGGGTCAAGTCGGCTGCCCATTCACCAGACTCAGGATTCTTGACCTCAAAAGGAGAACAACTTCTGAGATCATGCCCATAGACAATGGGCAATTATCAAACTTTAGCCTGCTTTAGAAAAATTAATAAAAGCCTCTGGTCCCTTGGTTAAGTGACCAGCCTGATTAGCTCTTTGAACAGTGTTAGTTCCCTTCTGCTCCTAGCTGCAATCCTAATAAAGGATTTTTGGCTGTCTTGTTCAGAATATGTGGCTCCATCTCCTTTCTGCTTTTTCCTTACAACTGCATCACACTCAGGAGCTCACCTACATCCACAGCACCAGAGAAACATACCGATGCCTAACACAGTAACCCTGGTGAGGAGATCCCCTGTGAATGCTGGAGACCATGATAGAACTACCTTCTATGTATACTGTTCTTGATTTTCTGCACAATATGCCAATGGTAAGGTTTAATTTATAAATTATTACCAATTAATATATAGATAGCAATCAATTAATATAGTAAACAATATACTAAATAATAATCATTAATGTGTAAAAAGTACTATAAATATTAATAGCTATTAATAATTTTATTATAATTTACTAAACTAAGGCAATTATAACATACTGGAATAAAAGTCAGTGAAGATGGTTTAACTCTCAATGTACAGATTGTGTACATTGTGTATTGTAGCTGGGGGACGAAACTGATCTTAGTCACAAACAGGAATTCAGGGTAAATGAAGAATTCTGCCAGCTGCCCAGACCTTGGAAACACTGATCAACTTTCCCTGAGAGCAGAGGTGAATTCTTTAAGAAACTCATGTCAGAAATAAGTGGAAGTTGTCTCACTTGGACAGTCACTGGTTTGTATTACCACATCTATGTCCCTTCTTTTTTTACAGCATATTTCCTCCAATAAGAAATCTGAGATGAGGTGAAGTGGTGCACACCTGCAATCCCAACCATGTGGGAGGCATAGATAGAATTGCAGCTCATTGTATGTGGCTCCAGGGAAACTCTCAAGACAATGGTTGAAAATAACTAAAGCTAAAGTGCCTGCTACAGAGTGTGAGGCTCTGAGTGCCAAAGCCCAGTCTAGCACTCCCTGACCAACACATAACAAAACAAAACAGATAAAAGAAAAAAAAAACTTTGTGAAGAAACATAGGCAGGACAAAATTCCAGGCACCACAGATGCAATGGAAAAGAAGGCACTATCTTGCCCTTCTAGGGCACAATTCTAAACCTCAAGAGCAATACCGTCAGCATTGTGTATGCTCTCCCATGGAGACTGTTTTCAGATTCTTACTGAAGTTCCTGGGAACACTGCAGCCAGGGTGAACGGCCTGACAAGCTATGACTCTTGAAAGCGCTCTTTTATCTCAGCCCTGTCAGGTCCTTATGGTCAGCCTGCTTTCCTCATAGATGCTTCTAATCCACCGCAAGAGAAAGCAGACACCCATTTCCTCCAGAGTTTTCTGTCTAATAACACCGAGCACTTTATGAGTCAGCAGTCATGAGATTTAGGTCTGATTCAGTGCAGAAGCATGGGCCCTGCTGTGCAGAATGCTGAGTCTGGAGAAGCAGTGTCATAAGTATCAATATATCCCCTGGCCTTGCCCAAGGTTCTCTGTTCTTACCATCTACAAAAATGTAGGCAAAACAGACCCTTTTATGAAACCAAAAATACAAATGCTCAGGATCACTCTAAATTTATTTTTCAGAAGAAAGGAAATGCTTTAAGACATTTGAACCAATTACCTTATGTCTTCTCTGATAACAATTTCTGCTCTTTGAGCAAAAACGATTCTAATTCTTATAATTAAATTGTCAACATCTGCAGAATGTTACTAAGGTACATTTAGCCACAAAATAGTTTTTCACCTTTTTTTTCCCCTTGAAAACGACTTATTTTAAATGTAGGGAAAGATTTTGCTAGGTACCATGACAGTATGAGTTTTAGAACAAGTATATGTTGCTTTTAATTCTAGTAGACATAATTCTGCCCACATGTCTCTTACTGTTTACTAACAGCAATTAAACTGTAATTCACTAAGGAGATAAAAATTCTACTTTAATTTGTAAACAACAGAATATTCAAATGGAACTAGAAGTTGACTCATTAATGTTCTCATAAAGATTGCAAGGAAGAATGATTATACCTCTTTAGTTATCTGTTAAAAAGGCAGATAGTGTATGTTTCTGGCAACCTGTGAGCTCGGATGCAAAAATATGAATTCCCAATTCCACAGAATTTCCTTACACGAGTTTGTAACAGTGTTGCTAATATACTTACTATGGATCTTTTACTAAGTTGATCTCTCCATTTTTCAACTAAACAATTTTCAAGGAGCATCATCCTGAAAGAAGCAATTTATCTTAGTAATCAGCATTTGATTATAAAAGCAAAAAATTAAACATGAAAAAAATTATAAAATGTCTTCAAAAATCCTTCTGTCTGTAAGCCATATATCTATCATGCGTATTTCATTAGCATTTCCTCACATTGTTCCTTCTTCCTATGTGCATATTTTCAATGATGTTGGCTATTTAGATCATACTAGATATCTCCTTTGTCCATATAGTATCCTTTTTCTGATTAGAAAAACTAAAAAAAAAAAGCCTTTAAAAGCAAGCTGGGCACTGGGTCTCATGCCAGTAGCCCCAGCTACTCAGCCTGGGCAGGAAAGTCCACGAGACTCTTAACTTCATTTAATCACACACAAAAAGCCCAAAAAACAAAAAAACCAAGGTGGAAGTACAAGTGTGGTCCAAATGGTAGAGCACTATCTTTGAGCCAAAAAGCTCAGGGACAGTACCCATGCCATGAGTTCAAGCCTCAGGACTAACACCAAAAATAAAATAGAGATAGAAATAAAAATAAAATAGAGTAAAATAAAATAAACATTATAACTATGGAATCCATTCCCCCTTTTGCTTAGCTATGACTCATTACCCACTCATGTGTTGGACATGGTAGTGTGTACTGGCTCAGGGCAGATTTCTAAAAGTTGACTAATTGAGTCAAATGATATTGTGTGTGTGTGTGTGTGTGTGTGTGTGTGTGTGTGTGTGTGTGTGTGTGTGTGTGTGTGTCCTGGGGCTTGAACTCAGGGTCTGAGCTTTTATGCTTAAACCTAGTGTTCTACTACTGAAGCCACATCTCTACTTTTGGCTCTTGGATGGTTACTTGGAGAGTCTCATGAGCCAGGTGCTAATGGCTCATGCCTAATAATCTTAGCTACTCAGGAAGCTGAGATCCAAGGATCAGAGTTCAAAGCCAGCCTGGGAAGCCTTCCAAATCAGCTAGAAGTAGAGCTATGGCTCAATTGATAAAGCAGCAGCCTTGAGCAAAAAAAATGTTCAGGAGTAGCGCCCAGGCTCTGAGTTCAAGCCCCAGGACTAGAACAAAACAAAAACAATCAAAAACACATTTTCAACACAGCATGACAAATTATTTTCTAAGTCATTGTAATTTCATGCAATACACTGATATTAAGAATTAAGTTAAAATGGAATCTGGATTTCGTGGTTTTTGGACTTGAGACAGTAAATTGTAACGGTTTAGTTACTATTTGTAGTTTACTTAAAAATATTGTTAAGGGGCTGGGAAGGTGGCTTAGTGGTAGAGCGCTTGCCTTGCATTCATGAGGCCCTGGGTTTGATTCCTCAGCACCACATAAGCAAAATGAAAAAAGCCGGAAGTGGCGCTGTGGCTCAAGTGGTAGAGTGCTAGCCTTGAGCTGAAGAGCTGAGGGACAACACCCAGGCCCAGAGTTCAGGCCCCACGACTGGACCCCCCCTCAAAAAATATTGTTAAGTAGTTGTACAAAGGAGTTTCCATTTCACAAAGCAGTTTATGAACACAATGCATCTTGATCAATGTCACCTCATATTTCTTATGGAATTTCTTTCTGTGGATTTGTACACACATATTTATTTTTGACATCTCAAATATGGATTTGTACAAATTCTTCATTAGACAGGTGGCCATTCCTTTTTTGTGTGATCGCAATTTCTCAATTTTTATTTGCCTTTCTGTGTTTATGTGATTTTTATGTGTATAATACTATGTGGCCAACTCTGCATAGCGATATTTTTCCTTTTAATTTCTTGTATTAGCCTTCCACATATTTAACTAATCTTGTCCCTTCCAGTTAACTTTTAAAATAATTTAATCTATTTTAAATTTACTTTATATTAGAGTATAAGTTGAAAAATATGATTTTCCCAAAGTCTGAATGACGTATTCTCTTTCCCTCATATCATTGTATTTCTTTGGAATAAAAATCTCTCTTTTGCTTTAGAATTTGTATCACATATTTCTCCTGTGTTTAACTTATATTAACATCCTTATATCACTGGTTGTGATATACCAGTTTTGCACCAGTTTTGTGTATCTTACAAGATCTCCTCCCTTTACGTGTGTGTGTATGTGTGTGTGTGTGTGTGTGTGTATGTGTGTGTGTGTGTGTGTGTGTGTGTGTGTGTGTGTGTATGCTGGTACTAGGACTTGAATTGAGGTCCTAGGTGATGTCTCTTAGCTCTTTTGCTCAAGGCTAGTGCTCTACCATTTGAGCCACAGCTCTACTTCTGGTTTTTTGGTGGTTAATTGGAGATAAGAGTCTTACAGCCTTTCCTGCTTGAGCTGGTTTCAAACTGTGATCTTCATATCTCAGCCTCCTGAGTAGCCAGGATAACAGGTATAAGTCACTATTGTCCGGCCCTATTATCTTTATTTTTAAAAACTCCTTCCATCCCTTCCCAGTTTATTTTTCCACATAATCATAAACATCATTTGTGAATACATAAATCCTCATCCCAAAATATTTGTACTGGGGTGGATTTAAAATCCATTCATTTGTCCAAATAAACAAGACCATTTATCTCCCCATCTGCAAGTAGAAGTACTGCAGAGACGAGCCTCAGGGGAGAGGCATGCCTGCTTCTTGAAAGAGACACAAATGCAAGCTGACAAACAGCTTGAGAGCTTAGAACCCAGGGAAGCATCTGAGGCTGGGCACAAATATTGTGGGAATACAGAACAAGAAATGATCTAAGTGAAGTCCCCTTGAAAAAGGACTTGTTTTCTTCTCAGAGGAATGGGGTCTTGACCCCACCAAGAAGAGAGATGTATGCACTGACAGCAGAGAAAGAGGTTACTTCTTATAAAAAGTAGTGATTTTTCTGGAGAAGTATATTTGTAGCAACTTAGGGGTCATGCACTGGCACGTGGGCTAATGCACTCAACTTCATATTCTAAAAAATGGTGCTGATTATAAAAGGATGAGTAGCAAATTGGTGGGGTGACAAGCACTCCAATCTAGGGTCGTGTGTGTGTGTGTGTGTGTGTGTGTGTGAATGTACATTCATGAAACATCTGTAATTTGCCAGGTGTGGATTTGACAATCACACTTTATTTTTTCCCATGCCAGGACCAGAGCTTGAACTTAGGGCATCTTACTCTCCCGTGGATTTTTCACTCATGGCTGACATTCTACCACTTGAGCAACACCAGTTCCATCTCTGAAACTCTGGCACCTCCACATCTGGCTTTTTACAGATTAGAGATACAAATCTCACAGATTTGTTTATCTGGCTGGCTTCAATCCTCAGTTCTCAGATCTCAGACTCCTGAGTAGCTGGGATCATAGGCATGAGCCACTGACACCTGGAAATCACACCTTCTTAGATTCTAAAGTCACCGTTAGATCACAGGCTCATACCTGCGGTCATAGCTACTCAAAAACTTGAGATCAGGAAGGTCATGGCTCAAGGCCAACCCAGGCAAAAAGTTTATGAAACTCCTCAATCAACAGCTGAGCATTGCTAGCCATGTGAATCTGTCGCCCCAGCTTTGTGGGTGGCTGAGATTTAAAAATAAATAAATAAATAAAGGATCATGGTTCCATGAGACTCCATTTCAACAGAAGAAGCCATCACAACGGTGTGTACTTATTATCCCAGCTGCAGTGGAAAACACAGAATGCAAGGATTGATAGAGCTCCAGGCCCAGGAAAATAAGTGAGACCTTATCTCCACAAAACCAGTGTAAAAAGAGCTGGAGGCATGGCCTGGCCGTACAGTACTTGCTTACCAACTGCAAGGTCCTGAGTTCAAACCCCATTACTACACATAATAATGGACACACACATTCACAGCTTTGTATGAATACATCAGGAAAATCCATAGATGGTTGATCAGTTGACCGCTAAGTTACAAAAGATGTTATCAAAACTCCTTAATACTTTTCACATTAGGCTTGGCCAGATAATTGAAAAAGAATTGTTCTGACTCAAAGTGATGTACTCATCTGTACAGTTTTGGAATTGCTTCATGAAATCTGAAGTTGATTTTTAAAGATTCTACTCAAATATTCCCATCTCTAGTTTTCCCTCATTCTGTTAGCAAAGTAATTAAGGCATCCAGTTCAGGACTTACCTGTCACTTAGGATCTATACTATCCTAACAGAGGCATCTATAAAAACGATTCTTGGCAAAATTTTGCTGCTGTTTTTAAAACCACGCCTGCTACATGAGGTCCCCTGCTTTTGTAAGCTACAAGCAGTTATGCCTGCCTGCCTGCTTCTCCCAGCTTACCGAGAGCGCCACTCATAGCACATGATGAGGACATCCTGATGGGGTAGGATGTGTGGACACTGGCACGAGGAATTGGTGATGAGTGGGACTTGGGTTCGTGGGATGGGTGACAAGGACTTGAAGATCTCCTTTACATCCACCACTGTGGTCACTTCATGGCACCCGCTCCTCTGCACAGCTTTTATTTTGGCATGGATGACTGCAATGAAAAGGCAATGCAAGTATTGTTGAAGCTCTGGAGGAAAAATGGGGTTGGTAAGTTCAATTCAAATTTAGGGACTCTTATAAAGCATCACTCCTGTCACTGGGCTTATGTCCAAAGCAGTCCCAGTGTAGACTAAAAAAAGACAAAAGAAAAAGAGCCCTTATAGTTTCCTGGTCAATGCAAGGCATCTCAAATCGCTAACCTTGTTTTCAAAGTCTTGAATCACACAGCAAGATAGAAAAGCAAAATTTTAGAAGTGGGCTTTACTCTGGGTTTGCCCTTGTACGTCAGGATGAGTTTCATAGAAACAGATGTTTTTTTTTTGCTTCCATTCTCTTTGAAGTCAATACCACAACTCTCAGATTCAGAAGTCACTGTGAAGTTCCTATTCCAACAATCATGCATCAGATGCTTCAACTTCTAGTTCATAGGGAAAATAATTAAAGTTGTAACATTTCCTTGAGGATAGCTGTTCACAATCCTCTGGCTTCACAGACTGACAAGGCAAGGTCAGGGTTGTGGAAGTAGAATTGTTATTACAGATGGCTGTTAGTGTTACTGTCTTTGATCAAGGATTAAATTCTGACTTCTTTGGTTTCTTGCTATTATTACTGCCTCTTGTGGAGTGGAAATCAGCCCAACTATGAGTTGGTCTTGAATTGCAACCTAGGAATCTGGCTGCAGGAAGAACCAAAGCACTTTTACAAGAAAGGCTTACTCATTAAGGTGGATCCAGAGCATGGCATCCCAGAAAATAGCATGACAGAGAAATACTCACATTGAAGAATGGATCATGGCATAGAAAGGACTGAGGAGATGAGATTAAGACAGTACCTAGGCCTAGTGCTGGTGGCTTGTGCCACTAATCTTAGATGCTCAGGAGGCTGAGATCTGAGGATTGTGGTTCAAAGCCAGCCCAGGTAGAAAAGGCTGTGATACTCTTATCTCCAAGTAACTACCAAAAAGCCAGAATTGGAGGCGTGGCTCAAATGGAACAGTAGCCACCTTGAGCATAAAAAGCTTAGGGACAGTGAACAAGCCCTGAGATCAAGCCCCAGGACCAGCATACATATGCTTTCCACAGGAACACACACACACACACACACACACACACACACACACACACGTGCACATGCGCGTGCGCGCACACACACATACACACTATCTACATAGAACATATTTCAAATAAAAAGCTACCTGGAAAGATAATGTATGATCCTGTATTTTGTTGTTGTTGTTGTTGAATTACTTTCATTAGCTATGTGAGATTCCCAAACCTGAAGACTTAAGTCTAGGTTACTTTTCCAAATTTCTGAATTTCCACACTCCTCTTACTTGAATAAATAAATAAATAAAGTGATAAACAAGCCATCATTTCTTATGAAATATGAAAACTAAATTAGCAAACAAACAGCATCGGTGTTTCTTTTTTCAACAAACATTTTATTATTCTAGAATAAATAGTATAGGAAATGCAAGAATATATAAACAGGCTAAGTAGATGTTTTTAAAGGCATTTTAGTGAAATTTACTTTCAAATGATGGTAGTTGAATTAAAATTGTATTAAAAACCTTTAAAATATCATTTTCCTTGGAAGCAAAGGCTAAATGAGTCATCCATAGAAGATAGAGGAGGACATGTGAACTATTTTAATATACATGTCCTCACGATTTCCTGAAGATGTTAAATATTTATAACTATGAGTTTAAAAGATACAGGAGCAGGACTAAATGCTCTGGGTCTCAGTGATCATAACCTGGGCTACTTTCCATCATTCTTGTAGCAACAGAACCAAAGGAAGAGATGAAGGGCACTGTGGCCTTTTCTAAGCAAGTATCACACTATAAATCTAATCTGTACAAGTGCCTTTATGGGAGACTGCAGTAATTTACTTTCATTCATCTATAAAAGTAAGAAACTTCCCAGTTGCTATTATGTCATTGAGAACTCCACAGAACTGAGTAGAAATATCAACCAGTGGTGGTGGTTTTCTTTCCTCTGTGATGATTAGATCCAGCTTGGCCAAGGGCACAATTTTTGGTTTTCTAACGTACACTATGTGAACAGTGAATGGCTGTACTAGGGAACTCACCATAGCTGTAGTTTTTGCTCAGATATGTTGCCAAAGTTGGCTTCACCTTCTTACATTTGCACCGATCTAAAAGAGGGTGGGAAAAGAGATTTTTTTTAAAAGCTGGCAATGGATCCAGACGTCTTTGCAGAGAATAAGAAGGAGTCTGAGGAAAGAACTGACCTGGGCTCATACGTTTGCAGTCAGCGTCAAGCGGCTTCTCCTGTACCATCATGTCTGGTGTGATGTCCATCCACTTCACATCTGCAACACAAACAGGGCCGGCCACACTGCTGTGGTCAGTGACTGACTCTCCTCAAAATAAGGACACAAATGAGCCAATCCACACACCCTGATAGTAGTAAATAGTAATGCTAGCAGGTGAGAAAGGCAGTCTTCTATACCAGCTCTGTTATCCAAGCAAACACTGACACAATGCACATCTGTTTAACCAACTGGATAAATCACATTACTCTCTCCCAAAGCTGTATCGCAATGTTGATTCTTCCCAGGCTCCAGTGGCTCACACCTAATAATCCTAGTTACTCTGGAGGTTTGAGATCTGAGGATCATAGTTTGAAACCAGCCAGGGTAGGAAAGTCCATGAGACTCTTGTCTCCAATTAACCAGCAAAAAAAAAACACAAGTGAAGCTGTGCTCAAGTGGTAGAGCACCACCCTTGAGCATAAAAGCTAAGAGATAGAGGCCTGGCCTTAAGTTCAAGCCCCAGTACCTGCACAAGCACACATACAAAAGAAATGTTGGTTTTTTTTCAAGTTAGCACCATTAAAAAACAAACACAGAATATTTCCAAGGACTGGAAGGTGGCTCAGTGGTAGAATGCTTGTCTTGTGTGCATGAGGCCCTGGTTCGATTCCTTAGCACCACATAAGCAGAAAAAGCCAGAGGTGGTGCTATGGCTCAGGTGGTAGAGTGCTAGCCTTGAGCTGATGAGCTGAGGGACAGTACCCAGGCCATGAGTTCAGGCCCACGACTAACAAAGAAAAAAAAAAGGGAAGAAGAACATTTCCAAATCCCCACCTCATGTTTTATAGAGTAGGAAAGTTCACAGCTGCGTAACACTACACCATTCATAAGATTTAAGCCATAAGCTTGGCACTGGTGGCTCACACCTGTAATCCTAGCTACTCAGGAAACTGAGGTCTGATAACTGCAGTTAAAAACCATCCTGGGCAGGAAAGTCCGTGAGACCCTAATCTCCAATTAATCACCAAAAAAGCTGCAAGTGGAGTTATGGCTCAAGTGGTAGAGTGCTAACCTTGAAGAAGAAAAAAAAAGCTCAACAATAGCACCCAAGCCCTGAGTTCAAGCCCCAGGACATGCACACAGAAAACACATTGAAGCTGCAAATGTATTTTGTAAACACTGTCTTACTTAGAGATGAGTTTGTATTTGCCTCCACTTGACAGGTTATCTTTCCTGTTTGGGCAATGCTAAGTGACCTAACTACAGAAACCACACTAAGAGACCACAGCCCTGAGCTCTTAGGAAGGCGGAAGCTGCCCTGGGGGATGCCTACAGAGAAGAAAGAGAAACTTTCCCTAGGTTTCCTTTCAAGAAGTAACTGTAGATGTGCTCCTTGCAACAAAAAACAGTAAAAGGACCCAAGAAAGGAAGGAAGTGAATCAGTGGTCAGATCAACAGATGCCACAGTCACTGGCTCCTAGTCAGAGACCATGAAACAGAGGCCACCATTTTCCAGGTCAGCTCTCTTTACCACACTCACGCTGGCCAGAGATGACCACTGCCGCTTTGAACTTTCCAGAAGCCTTATTAAATGACAGAACTTTCGAGAAATGGGATTAAAAGACAGAGCATTAGCCTGCAGCTGGTGGGACGGGCTTAGGCATTCGATGAGTTCACACAGACACTGGGCTTTGCACACCCAGTAAAACTTAGTCGCTGCCATCATCAGGAAAAGCCTCATTGCCAATTGCCTCCTTGTAAGCAAAATCTGTCTGCACTCCCTCCAGTCCTGGAGTCTCCCCCCTCCCCCCCCCCCCCCCCCCCCCCGTGCCTGGCCGATCCGTGGTGAAATCTCTGGGAGCAAGCCATCTCTCATTTCAAGTCTCATAGAAGTGCGATGCGGGGCACCCGCGGGCACCCATAGGTGTGGCCCCCTGGTTTTCAGCGGCTGCACCTCGCTCCATCCTGCCTTACCCTCAGGAAGGTCGGTGACGATGGCCTCGGGGGAGATGCACACGCCCCGGTCATAGAGAGGCAGCTCGTCGCAGGCCAGGCTCTCGGGCCAGCTGTGGTTGTACCTCTTCATGAGCGGCTCACAGCCGTCGCGGGCGCGCTGGCACACAGACTTGCAGGGCTTGATGGGGTCGTGCAGGAACTCCAGGGCGCAGATGGGCGCGTACATGGCGCACAGGAAGAAGCGCAGCACGGCGCTGCAGTTCACGTCCACCAGCTCCTCGTACTGCTCGATGGCCAGCACGGCGTTCTCCTGGGTGCTGTGGTGCAGGTGGTTCGGCATCCGCGTGAGGTTCCAGGGCATGTGGCGGCACATGGGGATGCGCACGGCCTCGCAGGGCGCGCCGCGCACGTCCCGCGCCAGGCGCAGCCACAGGCACAGCGCCAGCAGTCTGGGAGCCCGCATGGCCCGGCCCGGCGCAGACGCGCTTCCCACCGGCCCGGAGGACCCGTCTCCCCGCGCCTCCTGGATCGGTCCCGGTCCTTTCTCCAAGGAGCAAGTTTGGGGAGGCGCAGGGGACTTCCTCCTCCCAGATTCCAGTCTGCGGGGCTCTGCCCGCCGATGGCCCGTACCGAGAAACTCGCGTCCGGGACCTCACCGCTCCGGGAGCAGCCGGCCTCGGCCATTGCGGGACCCTATTTATCCCGACCCGTCCCAGGCCCTCGGTGCGGGGCGGTGACTTCGTCTCCGCCCCAAATGGCTGCAATCCTGGTCCCCTCAAAGTCCCTCCTTTTCAGTCTGACGAGTCCTTCTACGGAGCAAGAAAGGGAGCGTCTGTAGCCAACCCTTTTGGACACCAGATACGGGGATTGCCAGAGAGGGCGAGAGAAAGAGAGACACGCTTCGCTCTTTGTGCCGCGCCGTCCCCCCCGCCCTAGATTCGGAGTTGGGGGAACAGAAGAAGAGCTGTAATACCGCGCTTTTCCACGAGGGGGCGGGAGACGCGCCGAGTCCTGAGTCGGCGGGGCGGACCCGGGAAAGCTGCGATCAGGGAAGGTACCCCCCCTACGTGGCTTGGCGTTTGTTGGCATTTGTTGTTATTGTAGCTAGTGGACATTAGTTCTGGTTCGTTTGTTTTCTTTCCTCCCCCCCCCCCCCACGCCAACTGGCTCTTGGTATGTTCCTGTGCCAGTAATTTAGAATTACAGGTCCAGGAGCATCTTCCAGTTCAGGAAGTGGCGCCGGGGCTCAGCGTGGTAGAGACGCATCCTTGAGCAAAAGAGCCCAGGGACAGCACCTAGGTCCCGAGTTCAAGCCCCACGACCGACAAGAAAAGAAAAGAGAGGAAATGTTCTCTTCCACCACCCCTTGTGTTCTAACTACCAGCTCCTTTCTGCAACACGAGAACAAACAGACAATTTGGGACATTACAGTGTGAAAGATTTACCCATTCTCAAGTCATTTCCATCTCAACAACTTAAAATCTTGGTCTTGGATATACTCCTGGACAGGTGCTTGAACTGATCACGAAGCACTGTGCTGTGGAGATCAAGTATGCACCTTTTGTTTTTTCTCATCTACAGAAAAGGAAAGCCTTATGGTTGCAAATTTGCATCAAACTTCAGACAGCAAGGCTTCTACTGGATATTTATATAATGCATCAAAATAGGGCAATGTTCTCTGAATGGTATGCTTTAAAAACCTAGTTCAAGCCAGGTGCTCACACCTGTAATCTTAACTACTCAGGAGGCTGAGATCTGAGGATTGAGGTTCAGAACCAACCAGGGTTAAGACTGGCCATGAGATTCTGATCTTCAGGTATCTACCAAAGGCTGGAAGAGGAGGTGTGGGTCAAGAGGTAGTGCACCCAGGCCCTGAGGTCAAGCCTCAGTACTGATGTGCGTGCATGCATGGGTGTGCACGTGCATGCACATACACACACACCAGTTCAGGGAAGGAATGAGAATGTTGAAAGGGATGGCATTGATCAAGATATATTGTAGTCATAAACTTTTGTTAAGTGATAACCCTTTGTACAACTATTTAAAGATAATTTTTTTACAGAGAAAAAAACAGTTCAACTGGAAACTTGAATTTAAGGCATTTTTTTGTCTCTCCACCTTAGACAAAGTTAGCTTACTTTTGAATCTGAGCAAAACCCTTATTAAACTAGCTAACATTAAAATAAAATCAAGAAGTCCAAATGGAGTGTATTGGGCCTCTATAATGGACAAGTCATGGAGCTAATTACTCTAAAGGCTTTACTTTTTAGGGAATACAAATTAAACATGGTAAATTAGGGTGGTAAATGAAACAATTATATTTCAGGACTGAAGGAGTTTGGTGTTATTTGGAGGTATCCAGATGTTGAATCTAGAGAGCTATTCTGCTTTCCTATAGAACAAATCTCAAGCTCCAAAGATACCAGGCCAAGGTATGGCCCAGGTGATATCTGCAGACTCTCCCATTGGTGAACCGGATCTAAAGCCCTCATTGAATGACATCAAGTGCCATTCAAGCCCCTACCTATGGAACAGAGAAAGAGCAGGTGCACATGCTCTTGAGGGAGGCAAATGTGGACAGGGCCCAAATTTCTGCAGCCAATTTAAACCTACTGCATTTGGTTTTGGTTTTGTTTTGTTTTACAAGTACCACATCCATCACTAAGTTTCATGAAATGCCCTGAATCATTTCTGATTGCAAGACCTTTAAGCAAGGATGAGAGTACTTAAAATAGTCTTGCCCAGGTCATGGAGATACCTCAGTGGCAGAGCACTCACCTAGCCTGATGAGGCCCTACGTTCACCCCCAACATCATAGAAAAAGGAAATAAATTGAACCAATCATGTGTTTTATTTTTTTTGTTTGTTTTTGGTTTTGCCGGTCCTGGGGCTTGAACTCAGGGCCTGGGCACTGTCCCTGAGCCTCTTGTGCTCAAGGCTAGCACTCTACCATTTGAGTCACAGTGCCACTTCTGGCCTTTTCTGTTTATGTGATACGGAAGAATTGAAATCAGGGCTTCATACATGCTAGGCAAGCACTCAACTACTAAGCCACACTCCCAATTTTTTAGATTTTTAAAATTTTATTGTAAAGGTGATGTACAGAGGGGTTACAGTTACATAAGGCAGGTAATGAGTATATTTCCTTTTGAACAGTGTCATCTCCCTCATTCTCTCCCAGTTTTTCCCCTTCTAACTCTGCCCTCTCCCTAAGTTGTATAGTTAATTTCCAACGTAGTAGATTTCTCTGTTGAATTGGTTCACCCTTTGTTCTTTACTTCCTCATCCCCTCCCCAAATCAAAGAAAAAAAGAAACACAAACAGTACAATAAAAAACTTCTTGCTCCCATTTCTTGAAGTTCACTTCAATAAGCATCATTTTATATGATCATATGCCCATAGTTATTGAGCCCTTTCGATCCTCTCCTAAGCATATCCTCCTTAGTTCTCTGTGTTCACTGTGTGAATGTTTAGACTGCTGCTTAATTATTAGGCTCAGGTGTAATTATTTGTTGCTCACTATCCACTGGATTTACTTGTAGATTTATAGACACATTCTAATTATTATTGTAATTATTCTGGCTTTTTGGTGGTTAACTGGAGTTAGGAATCTTAAGGCCTTTCCTGCTGGCAGGGATGGTTTTAAATCTTGGTCTTCAAATCTCAGCCTTTTGAGTAGCTAGGATTACAGGCATGAGCCACCAGTGACAGCAGTCTCACCACTTTTGATTTCTAGGGCTGGAGCATTCCTAGCAACGAGTTCCCTGGTAGGGGGTGGGGGGGTGGGTGAGGAGAAGGGAAGCAAAATTGGCCCCTGTGTTCTACCAACAATGGGCCTATGGCTTTAAAATTCAAACCCCAGTCTGATGGTTGCACCTTCTCCTGGGTGAATAGCCCCCAAGCAACTCAAGGTCAGCCAAGGTGGGACTGACTCAAAGCAGAGGCCTCTCTGAATTGGGGTCTTCCTCTGTGGTTCCAGACCCCATCGCACTGTCTCCACCCGAAACCCAAGCATCTTGGCTCAGCTTGGTCTCCCCAACTTCCTTCGGTCCCAGGCAGGCTGGGGAAGGCGAGGGGGGGGCTGGCCCACTGCTCAGTAACCTTGAGCCCCAGCGACCTTGAGCCCTTGCTCCAGTGCTGGCAAAAGGGCCATAATGAAGCCGCAGTCATCGCTTCACCCAGGAGCCCATCTTTCCACCTTCTATTGGCACACCCAAGTCACGGTGTGCCAAGAGCCCCTATTCCTCACGTGGACCCCGAAGTCGCTGCGGGTCACCGGTGAGTGCCTTGTCCAGCAGAGCTCCCCGGCCCGCCCCGCCCTCCCCGCGCGGCCCTCCGGCTGAGAGCGGCCCTGCGGCCACAGCGCTCCCAGCTGACAGCCGCGAGCCCGGAGAGGACGCCAGCACCCGGGCCCGCTGCGCGCGCCCAGATCCAGGCGGCAGGCGGGGCCTCCGCGCGCGCCGACCCCAACGGAAGCGCCGGCTCGCGGTAGCCCCGCGCACCGCCCCGTGCCCCGGCCCTCGGCACCCGCGGGGAATCGGCTCGTTCCTCCAGGAAGCGGCAATGCCGGGGCGCGGCCCTCCCCGCGTGGCCCTCGGGCTCGCGGGCGTCTGGCTGCTGTGGGGCGGCCTGTGCGTCCTGGGGGCCGCGGGGCTCCCGAGCGCGCCGCGGCCCTGCCAGGCCCCGCAGCAGTGGGAGGGGCGCCAGGTGGTGTACGAGCAGCGGAGCGGGCGCAACAGCCGCGCCCTGCTGGCCTACGACGGGCCGGGCCGGCGCGTGCGGGTGCTGGACGAGCGGAAGGCGCTGATCCCCTGCAAGAGGTAGGCGGCGGCTGGTGGGGCGCTGGGACCGGCCTTGCGCCCCGGGATCCGCCCTGCCCACCCCGCAAGAGGCTTCTGCAGCCAGAGCCTCGCGGGGGGCCACAGGGCCTAGGCACGAGCCCACCAGGGCAGCCTGCAGGTCGCAGGGCCAAGTGAAGAGGAGAACCTGCCAGAGAGCCAGCCACCTGGCACCCCAGTCCATGTTCACCTCTAAGTCTGTAAGTTGCCAAGTCAGGTTCATGGCTCTGGGGCCTTCAGAAGCCTAGGGCTTGCCTTCTGTGAGTCACACTAGGAAAGCATATTTTTAAAGCAATATATAGTATATATTATGTAGTATACGATAGGTTTTTAAATTTATTATATAATACATAATTATGTACTTTTATTAGATTCTATATTAATATAGATTTACATACACTATGTATTAGATCGATATATGATGTATATCATGTATCATATAATATATATTTTAATGGAATATGACAATAAGAAAATGACACCCACAAACTCACAACCTGTTGCCACTAAAATTTTTATCTTATACCCTTCGTTTTGTCCAGCTAGTTTTTACACAGCCTGTACTATGATCTAGCCCTTCTTTACTCAATCTCGCCTCTTCCATGTTCATACATGTTTTAAAATT